ATGTTCATTTTCTTTGAGGTTACCTTGAAATTTATTATTTTTTCCTATTTAAAACAATCTGTTTTATCTTAAAATCTACCTGACTTCCTTGCCATTTGAAAGTTCTATATCTACACTATTCCCTATTTTTGCTTTGTAGTTGTCTTCATTGTGCATTGATGTATCTGGTTCCCTATATTCTGTTTTGTAGGTTTATTTTAATTTAAATACTTGGTGTCCTGATGTGGCACTCAGGTTAATGCGCTGGACTGCAAAGTTGGTTTGAACTGCAAGGTCAGAGGTCCAAGCTCACCAGTCGCTCCTCAGAAACCCTATATAGGGTTGCTATGAGTTGGGACTGATTCGACGGCACTTAACAACATCATCTGGATCGAGTTCTGGATTATGTTGTCATGTATAGTAATCTCAGGTTGTTGTCTGCTATTATTGGTTCTCAGTTTCTAACCTTTCCTCTGAAGTTCAGGATTCCAGAATTTTCATTAGTGTCTGCTTCATTTGGTCTCTTGTATCACCATCCACTCCTCAGAAACCCTGTGTGGGGTCGCTATGAGTCAGAACTGCCTCATTGGCATGTAACAACAACAGTCTTTGTTGTAGAGGATCTGAGTAGTGTGTCTGCCTAGTCCACCATCTTGCCGGAAGTCCGATTTGCTCTTCTTTACCTCGTCATTATCCCCCTCTCTCTCATTTCAACAAAGATTTATATGTGAGGCCTGCGATCTGAATTGCTTTCCCTCAAACTGTGTGACACTGGAAAAGTCACACAAATTCTTTCTTACTGACTGAACTAATAAGTTTATTTTAGTCTTGTCTATCAAATCTTAAATTACCAGCTTTGGTGGTGGTTGTTAGGTGCCTTTGAGTCAGTTTCCACTCATAGCAACCTTATGCACAACATAAGGCCTGCACCATCTTCAAAACTGTTGTTACGTTTGAGCCCATTATTTCAGTCAGTTTGTCTGTCCATTTTGTTGAGAGTCTTCCTCTTTTATCCTGACCTTTATCAAGCATGATGCCCTTCTCCAGGGACTGGTTCTCTCCTGATAGCATATCTAAAGTGCAGCTCACAGCCGCTCCTAGGAAACCCTATACAAGGTCACTATAGGTCAGAACTGACTCGGCGGCACTTAACAACAAGAAGTCAGTTGTAGTCTTTAAAGTGACATCTTTGCTCTTTAGCGCTTTAAAGAGGTCTTCTGCAGCAAATTTGCCCAATGCAATATGTTATTTGATTTCCTGACTGCCGTTTCCCATGAGCATTGATTGTGGATTTAAGTAAAATGATGATAAAGCAGTAATATTTCTCTTTTGAAAAGTTAATATCAGGCTGGGGCTATGTCCTAAAAAACAGTATTGCATCTTAACAGAATTTAGAAACAAAGGATTAAAAATACTGTATGGTATGACTTTGAGTTTTGATTTTGATTTTGATTTTGATTTTGAAATTGTTGTGAAATTCCAGAACATCTCATACACTGAATTTGTTGTGGTTAAGTGTCGTCGTAGTATCAGTTCTGACTCAAGTGACCCTCTGTGTAGGGTTTCCCAGGTTGTAAATCTTACAGCAACAGAAAGCCTCATCTTTCTCCTGAAGAGTGGCTGGTGGGCTCTAACCAACCTTGTGCTTTAGGGTCCAGTGCTTATCCTACAGAACTATCTTGCTCTCCATGTGCTGAATGTTGTTGTGAAGTGCTGTTGAGTCACTTTTCAGTCATCCCGAACCTATACAAGGTTTCCAAGGAGCCAGGTTTCAACCATCCAACTTGGAATTAGTAGTCCACTGCTGATCCTGCAGTGACACTAGGACTCCCATATGCTGAATTGTTGTTGTTGTTGTGAAGTGCTGTCGAGTTGATTCCGATCTATAGCGACCCTGTATAGGGTTTCCAAAGAGCAGCTGGTGAGCTTGAACCGCTGACCTTGCAGTTCAAGTGGCTTTGCAGTCTGACGCATTAACCCATAGTGCCATACCAAGACTCATATGCTGAATAGGGTAAATATATATTCTAACACAAATATACTCTTTCAAATTATCTGCTACTTTTATTGGTTCATACCTCTACTTTTGCTTCATTGAGAATTCACATTAAATTGATTTCAAGTGCCTATCTAAGAGATTAAAGTAATGCTTTAAACAAATTTAATTAGTCTCAAAAATACTATTTTATGATAGGCTGATAGACTAAATTTTTATAATTTTCTTAGATTTTATATCCCTTTTCTTGCTTTTATTTGTAAGCCAAGTCAGGTATTTGTAGCCATTTCCTTTTTTTTCCTTTTATATATTGGGAACTTCGGTTTAGTTTTTTTTTCCTTGCCCAGCTGATTTAGTGTTAATTACTCCTCTTGGTGCCTGTTGAGGTAGAGCTTTGGTTCCCAGCAGCAGACTCTACCCACTTCCCTGCCTACCCTTGAGTGTTAGAGCACCCTTCACCCAGCAGGTTTCCATCCCTACTCTGCAAACCACTTTCTCTAGTGTGGACAGAGATCACAGGCAGCCTACCTGCTTAGAAGGGTGTGGCTAGCATGTTGCAGCTGTGTGTATCCAGACCATTTCATACAACTTGAATATTCCACCTGCATGGAATGAGCAAAGTGTGAATGAGAGCTGTGGACACAGAGCAGCCTTGGACACAAATGGCCCCTGCCTGCCACTTATCCAGCCTGTACCTGGGTTGTGGCAACCCTGTGCACAGTTCTCCACTATATCTTCCACCCATCTCTGGAGCAGTATGCCTTGGCACAGATTGGCTACAAAGAACTCCACTGCTCTCAGGCCTCACCTGATCTGCACCAGACCAAACACACAGTTTTGGTGATTGGTTTTCTGATTATCGGGATAGTACCTATCCTGGTGTAGCACTGTGGGATAATGCACTGAAATGCAAGGTTGATTTGAACTATAAGGCCAATGGTTCAAATTCACCAACTCTTCCTTGGAAACCCTGCACAGGGTCGCAATGAGTTGGAACTGAGTCAACGGAACTTAACACCACCATCAAACTTACTCCACAACTTCTTGACCTAGGCTTATACCTTTCTTATACAAATGTGATCAAAGGCAACATTTTCCAACCATTGAATGAAGATGAATGAGGCTGAAATCCACTTTGGGAAATGTCTAAGACAAGTGTCGTAAATGCATGGGCATACCATGACAGAGCTTGACTTTCAGAATTCCTTTATTTACACCCATTATATGTGTGTATGTATTATATAAACATTTCCTTGGGCACACTATTTATGGAAAATACGGTATACAGTTCTTTTCTATAATACAGTCTTTTTTGCCTTATAACACTAGACTGCAAAGTCGATTTGAACCACAACTTAAATAATTTCTGGTTCTCAGAGAACAAGAAAGTACTTTTAATGCTGCATTTGTCTGGGAAAACTAATTTTAATTCATATTGACCTTTCTTTCCTTTGAGCATTTAGTCTGAATTTGGTAAAATGTTGATGACTGCTCTTTAGAAGACAGCTGTACGAAATAAAGTATTATAAATATTCAGCTCCCTTTCTAAGCATTGTCACCAACATCTGGGCAGCCAGTTCAGCAGAGCAGATTTTGCAGAAAGAGAGCCTGGCATGTTCCTGAATCTGTTTAGTGAAGGTGACAAAAAATAGTTTCTTATGGATTGGGGACTTGTAAAGTCATAGAGCATCTGTTCCTCAGTTAAGTCTTAGCCTGGTAGCACTGAATCATGTTTAAAGCTAGGATAATGTGCAAAAGTGTTTTCACCTTGCTCATACCTTTAACACCTACTGCATTATTTCCACAAATAATCCACTTTTAATATCACCATTAAAGGTAATGTAAATTAGTGCGCTCTTATGTGTGATTTTTTTTTTATTGTTGTTGCTGTTGTTAAGTGCCGTCGAGTCGATTCTGACCCATAGCAACCTTGTATAGGGTTTTCAAGGAGCGACTGGTGATCTTGAACCACCAACCTTGTGGTTCAAACGACTTTGCAATCCAGCACATTAGCATACAGCGCCACACCAGGACTCACAACCATGATGCTACCAGTGTTTTTCGATTTTTTATTAGTGGTGTTTAAAACATAAATTGGTAAATTTTTGTTAAGATTGTTTATACTGTAACTTTAATCTTTGAATTGTATGGTAGCCCACGTATATAAAACCACATATCCAGGTATGCATTGCTTAACGTCCCCAATATGTACTGTGAATTAGGACATAATGTGATTTGGACGCTGTGTAAACACCACATTAAAACCTTATGGCTCCTCTCTTCTGGCAGTAGTGGTCACTGAGAGGGCCATGGGAGTGGAACCAAGAGGAAATGAGTGAGGATTGAGCTGAGCATGCCCAGCTCCACCCACTATTCCACCCGCATGGAGGCCCCTGCCGCCACCTGCCGGCTGGACAAAACCTGAGAGGTTGCGCCCAGAGCCGTGTTTCTGCCATACCTGCCTATATCCCATCTGTGGTCTAGTGCTGCAAGGGCCCAGCTTTGGGGATCTTCAAACCACTGTTGTAAAGTGCTGTTTCCGACTCATAGTCACCCTGTATAGGGTTTCCAAGGAGCAACTGGTAGGCTTGAACCATTAACCTTGTGGTTAGTTAGCTTATTCTACAGTTAGTTAGTACTTTTTCTACAGTACCACACTAGGGGAAAATGATCAAAGGAGATAGCTGTTTTCTCTTTAAAAAAAACCCACCAAAAACAAAACTTTTGAGGCCTTGGGCGTATATGTGGTTGAATGTTGTCTGAACAGATGTTAAGTGACATGTATCTGTATAGAAAACTGATCCACTTAAATAATTATGATTCCATTTTGAAATTTACTTTAAAAATAAACTTAGTTTCTTTGTTATGGATAATTGCTTTCTTCATATATTTTTCTACTTTAATAAGTTCTATAAAAATTAGTTGGGTAGAAGTAATGGAATTCTTGTGTATGTATCTTACTCTTAAATATTTGGTTATTTAGAGTTATTTCATATCTAAGATGTCCTTAAATGTTTTTTTGCAGTGTTAAAAGATCACTGAAATTAGAAGGTCTGTTAAAAGAAAATGTAAGTACTTACGAGTTTGAAATTTTATGGTAAGATTATGTGTTTTTAATTTTTATCTACTGATTTATCTTGCTAGATGTAAAACTTACATTTAAGAAAACAAAACAAAAACATTGTGGTATAATTGTGGTTGAGATACCATTTTTGCGTTGTATGAATTTTGGGGAGTCTGAATTGGATGTGTGAAAGTTTTTGTCCAGTTAGGTGTTCGTAAGAAGCAAATTAATTAGAAACTTTAATGAAATAATTTAGTAGATAGTTCACTCTTGGTAAAAAAAAATATATACATTGCCACTAAATGAGAAACAATTTAGAATAATGATAATGCTTTAATCTGCATGCTATAATTTACTAAATTGAAATAAAAACTAATAGCATATTTATATAGAAGTGTAATTACATTTCTCTGCTCTGCTGGAATGATTAAACAATAAGATACAAACACTGTAATAAATTTCACCATGTTTATCACACTAGAGATAAAACTGTACTGTGGCTATTGCTTTTTTGTAACGCTCGCCATCACATATGCTCAATGCCAGCTGTCATGGCATATGTTAATTTATTATCTTTTCAGATGAACTATGGATCTAGGTGCAAACTCTCATCCTGAAATATCCCAGGAATCTTAAATGAATATAAATTGTTGAGCAAGTGGATTAAAAACAAATAGCTAGTCAATAAATAAGCTTCTGTGAAATCCTATATGATTATGCCTTTTCAAGAAATGAATTTTAGATGAAATTTCTCTTAGGAAGACATACTGGTATTTAACAAAGCAGAAACTTACCAATTAAAACATTTCCTAGTTGCTTTTTAAGAAATTTTAAACAAAGATGGCAAAATACTGCAATGACACTAAAAAAATCATTAGCAGTATAATTAGCAATTTAGACTACCATTATCCAACTGTACAGAATGCAGCTGTGACAGTAATTCTGCATCTGTGTCTTTGGTCAGAATGATATTTTGGTAGGTGAGTAGTCCTGCTTGAAATGAAATTATGTTCTGTACTGCCCCAAAGCTGTTCTTTGGGAGCTGGAAACTTTATTTGAAAGAAAAAGAATGGTCATTTTAGAATTTATCCTTGTCCTGAAGTACAGTGGGACTTTCTATCCGTTTTTTCTTCAGATGATGCTGTATCAAAGCACCAGCGCCATAGCTAATATCCTGTAGTAGAAAATCTGTTATGTTTGGTCCAGTTTTGTAGCTTGAAACCAGTTGACTTATCTTTGCACCACATAGCCACCAACTGCAAAAATCAAGTTCTAGCATCCTAGCTTGGGCCATTTTTCAACACTTCCTGGTCCTCTCAGCTTTTGTCCTCTTGCCTTCTCATTTGCCTACAGCTCTATATGCAGACCACTTTTGTTATAGGGTAGTGCGAAATCTGGAGTTCTTTCCTTGACTACATTTATACTTTCATCCACCCTGGTAACAACAACTCTAAAGCAGTTTGACTCCCAAGAATCTGCCACATGACTATTGATCCACTGAAGCTGCTATGGTCCATACAAAAGAACATCAGATTTTTAAGACATAATTACAGCAATAACAACAACAAAACCTCTGCCATCAAGTCAGTTCTGACTCATAGTGACTCTATATAGACTTTCCAAGACTGTAAATCCTTAGGGGAGCAGACAGGCTCATCTTTCTCCTGTGGAACAGTTGATGGGTTTGATCTGCCAACCTGGTGGTTAGCTGTCTAATGCCTAACCCACACCAACACCAAGGTTCCCTGTAATTATGAGAGTGCTTAATTGCTACTGAGGAACTAGTTATAACTGGTCATTTTACCTTATGAATAGGATGCTGAAGGAAGAATACTCAGGTCTCCAAGGAAAGAAGATAGCCCTTATAAGTAAGTGTGTTGAACTAGAGCCTGTTCATCCTAAAGCATGATTTTTTTCTGTCTTGGAGATGCTTGGAACTCCCAGTCTTCCAAACACAGTTATGTTCGTAAGATTAATGCCCCATGAGATTAGGGCAAGGCAACAAAAATGAGTTACTTTTTTTCTAATGGGGGAAGTAGAGTTAAGGATTATTTCCTGTGCCCCGCTTATAAAAATACATATAGAATGTACACTGCCAGTACGAAATTGTTGGGGGTAGTAAGAAATTAAAGAGATTGCTAATTATCATTACCTACAAAATTGAGGCTCTACAAGTTGTTGCCCTTTGAGCACTGTTTCTGTATGGGTTTGCAAGAATTGAGATGATTCTTGGAACTGCTAATGATGGTAGCCCAAATGAGTTTATAGGGACAAATGGCAGTTTAGCCCCGTTCTTTCAGGCCACCTGAGAGAGGGGATAGAAGCAGAAGCTACCGGTGGGAAAAGAAGGAGCATACATTCTACTAAAACCAAATCAGTAGTTGTGCTTCCAGAAGGAATAGTGATGTGGGTTTGGGGGGCCGATTTTTCTATTTTTATATAGATTGTCAGTCCAGTGGTAGGACACTTCTGAATCTGATTACTCCCCATGGTCTATCCTTATTTTACCTCTCAGAGACAGAAGGCTTCTGGGATTTTGGATGGCAGGGCATTGTGGGAAATTTTATAATACACACCCTTCAGGCTTACTTCCTGACCTGGCTCAAATTTAGTACTTCTAATCATCTTCCTTCTCTCCTTTCTTTGTTGTTGTTGGTTCTATTGAGTCAGTTTCAACTCATAGCAACCCCATGTGACAGTTGAATGGTCCCATATGGTTCTCTAGGCTATAATCTTAGGGAAGCCAATTGCCAGGTCTTTGTCCTGCAGAGTTTCTGGGTGGGTTTGAACTGTCAACCTTATGGTTAGCAGCTAAGCACTTAACCGTTGTGCCATCAGGTTATTCCTTCCCTCTGCTCATTTTTTTCCCTCTCCCTCACTCCTTCACTTTGTTTTTTTTTTAAGTTTTTATTGTGAATTGAGTGATAGTTTACATGGGAGAGCATTGGTTTTAAACTCATCCTACCGTATTTCATTTCATTGCAATGATTACAATCTCCTCTATGCATCATTATTCAGCAGCATATGCTTTTATTCGCTTTGTTTTTCTTTGGATATATGCAAAAACACTCAGGAATATATAATTATTTAAACAACAAAGGAGCACATTCTGCATGCCTGCCTCCTGGCCACCAGCACACAACCTTCCTCCCTTTCTTTTTGCCCTCCTTTTGTACCAAGGAATTTTTTAAACATACACAAGAGAAGATAGAATAGTATAATGAATGCTTATGTATCCATCCATTACCCATCTCAACAGTTTTTTAACATTTTGCTACATCTACCTAGCCACATATATAGATACACACAAACATGATATATATGTGTTTCTGTTTGTCTGTGTTTTTCCCTGGATAGTTTTAAGTTCCAATTATCTTATCATGCATATACATATATATAAAAATAAGTACAACTATATCACTTATATTAGTATATACATCAACATTTATCTTAACATATAATGATTCCTTTTTTTGTATATAACCACAGTGCTACAATCGTACTATACAAAAAGAGTTGTTGTTGTTGTTGTTAAGTGCCATCGAGTCGGGTCCGACCCATAGCGACCCTGTACAGGGTTTCCGAGGGTGTAAATCTTTACGGGAGTAGAAAGCCTCATCTTTCTCCCGCGGAGCGGCTGGTAGTTTTGAACCGCTGACCTTAAGGTTCGCAGCCCAATTCGTAACCACTACGCTACCAGAGCTCCTTATACAAAAAGAGTAGTTACTCATTAATATTATCTTTCACCCAGTTAATATGTTCATGTTTCCACAGTTGTTTCAAAATGTGTTTATTGTTGGCTTAATTAAAATCAGGATCCAAACAAGATTTTTACATTGTATTGCTTTCTCTATCTCTTACATCTTTTTTTTTTCCAATTTATAGGTGCCCTCTGCATCTCATCTCACTTGTTTTTTTGTTGATTAATTTATTGATGAAAACTGAGTTCTTTTGTTTGACAAGCCTATTCCACATTCTACTGAATGTGTTCAAACTACCAATTTGTAGTTGTTAAGCACAAACCATTTGCACCACATAGAGACCTTAGTTGTGCCTTTCCAGTGGAGATATAGTTGATTTTTGTTTATTGACCATATCCCTCCTGATAACTTCTGAAGTACAAGAAGCAAAGTGTGAAACCTTGCTAAACTCATTTATTAATTTTTGCAGTGGTACTATAGGTTAGGCATTGGGCTGCTAACTGCAAGGTTAGTGGTTCAAATTTACCAACTGCTCCGCAGGAGAAAGATTTCTCCTCCCATATTTTGGAATCCTGGTGTAGCACTGTGGACTAATGCACTGGATTGCAAAGTCATTTGAACAACAAGGTTGGTGGTTCAATCTCACCAGCCGCTCCTTGGAAACCCTATACAGGGTTGCAATGGGTCAGAAATGACTTAATAACACTTGACGACAACAACAACATAGATTTACAGTCGTGGAAAACCTATGAGTCACTGTGAATCACAATCAACTTGATGGCAGTGTGTTGGGTTTTGGGTTTTATTGGTAGCTTTCTTGCAGATTCTGTGTGATTTCCTTTATAAATAATTGCTTGCAAAAAATGGACAGTTTTGATATCTGCTCATTCAGGTCTGTTTGCCTCCCCCTCCCCCCTTGCTTAATTGCATTGAGTGGAAACTAAAATCCCATTTTGGCTACAAGAAGTAATCATTGACATCCTTGTCATTTTCTTATTTCTAAGAGGGAAAGCTTTTAGTCTTTACCCATAAGTATGATGTTTGTTGTTGTTTGGATGTTAGATGCCATCGAGTTGGCTCCAACTCATAGCAACCCGCTGCACAGAATGAAACACTGCCCAGTCCTACATCGTCCTCACAGTTGCTGATACCCTTGAGCCCATTGCCGCTGTCACTGTGCCAATCCTTCTCCTTGGGGGTCTTCCTCTTTTTCTCTAATCCTCTACTTTACCAAGCATCATGTTCTTCTCCAGGGATTGGTCCCTCCTGATAACATGTCTGAAGTATGAGAGACAAAATCTCA